AAATAAAGTTTTTGTACTCATTTTAAAAATACGTCATAGAAAATGTTGGTGAAAAGTTAAGCACAATGAACTATGAACAGTATATTTAAATATTTTCATAATAAAAATTTAAGAATGATTTTATCAGCAGATTAGACATAATTGAAGAGTAAATAAGAAATGGCAGACAGGTCAGAATCCAGACCACAGCAAGGAAAGAAAAAAAAGATGGAAAATACAAAAGTGGATAAGATAATAGAAAATTTAGTTAGATGTTCTGACATATATTTAATTCAAATCCCAGAGAAGAGGAAGAGATTGGGGCAAGGAAAATATTTGAAGAGATAAATGGCTGAGAATTTTCCAGAACCTATGAAAAATATCCACAGAATCGAGAAGTTCAAGACTACCATGCAGGATAAATAGATACACACAGATATCTCATAATAAAATTCCAGAATACTAGAGACAAAAATGCTAAAATCAGCCAAAGAAAAATATTAGATTAATAATGCTCTCTCTCTCTGGGTAGTGGAATTATAAGTAATTTTCACTTTCTTCTTTACATTTTAATGTAAACACCTGAATTTTTCACATTGAACATATACTATTTTTAAATTTTTGCATTTTTATCAAAGTCATATAAGCATATACTATATAGAGGCAAATGGTTCTATAAGACTTATTTAAAAAGTGGTTTCAGCTGGGCACAGCGGCTCTCACCTGTAATCCTAGCACTCTGGGAAGTGGAGGCAGGAGGATCACTTGAGGTCCTGAGTTTGAGACCAACCTGAGCAAGAATGAGACCCCTTCTCTACTAAAAATAGAAAAAATTACCCAGGTGTGATGATTCGTGCCTGTAGTCTTAGCTGCTTGGGAGGCTGAGGCAGGAGGATCCCTTGAGGTTGCAGTGAGCTATGACACTACTGCACTCCAGCCTGGGTGACAGAGCGAGACCTTGTCTCAAAATAAAATAAATAAATAAATAAAATAAAAAGTAGTCTCTATTTGCCTTTGCTTTGTGGTGTTAATAAAAAAAAAGTAGTCTCCAGCCCTCACTTTCTACTCCCAAGACATAACTATTTCATCTTTTAGCTATTTCTAAATAACTTTCTTATATTGCAATTTCTTGGTTTTTCAAATTTGATGTTATCTACTAACTTCCTGTAAGACAGATAATTCAGTTCTTTCATATCTGTGACTGTCAGACTCTTAGGGTGGTCCTGTGATTTCCCCCGACTCCTCTTCCTGAGGTTCACATCTTTATAGTAAAGAATTTAACCTAACCCAACAAGAGGCCTTGCCTTTACCCTTCCTTGGCTTCTGGGAGGTAATGACTAAGCCCTTGGAATGTGCCAGAAAGTATAACAACGTGATTTATGCTGGGGGCTTTGGGCCGCATATCAGCTCATGCAACTTAACTTCCAGAGGAGCTGGAGACTGAAGTTAGACATATGGGCAGCCAACCACTGAGCCCCAGTAAAAACTCTGGACACTAGGGACAGGAGAGTTTCTCTGGCTGGCAATATTCCATGTGCATTGTCACACATTGATCCCAAGAGGATAATGCATCCATGACTCCATGGGGAAAAGACAACAGAAGCTTTACCCTCCTGAACTCTGTCCTATGCACTTCTTCCTTTGGTTGATTTAAACCTGAATCCTTACCATGTAATAAACTGCAGCTGTGACTATAATGGTTTCAGTGGGTTCTGTGGGTATTTCTAGAGAATTATCAAACAGGAGGTAGTAGTTGCAACAGTGTCAAAAGTGAGGATGGTCTTGTGGGGACTATTTCCCCCCTAACTGTACAGTTGGCTAAACTATTAAATAACACAAAATCCTTGAGTGATTCTTCTCCCCTTCAGTATTGGTGGGAACTGTGACTTGTGTCCAACCAACAGAAAATGGTGAAGGCAATGGAATGTACTTTATGTGTATAGAATTGTGTTAAATAAGATTGCAGCACCCCTCTTGCTGGAGTCCCTCCCTTGAGCTACAGCTGTCGGGTGCCTGTGTTGGGAGGCTCGCCTGGTAAGGAACTGAAGGCAGTAAGGAGCTAAGGGCAACCTCTGGCCAACAGATGGCAAGAAACGGAATCCCTCTGTCCTACAAATACAAGGAACTGAATTCTGCCAACAAAAGTAGATCCTTCTCCATTCGAGCCTCAGATGAGGCCACAGTCCTAACATCTTCATTATGGCCCTGTGAGACCCTGAGCAGAGCCATGCCCAAAATCCTGACTCATAGAAAATGTGAGATCATAAATGTGTGTTGTTTTAAGCCACTATGATTGTGGTTAATTGTCATACGGCAGTAGGAAACTAACATAATCCCCAAGCCCTCTACCACCACTACTAACCACACAGGCACTTGGCCTGTTGTCCTATCCTCCCCATAGTTAATCATAATTTTGATAAGGTTAATAGTCAACGGTTATATTACTATGACTTTGTAATATTCTGAGCAATATTCTCAAATCAGACTATAATTACATTTTTGCACAAATTTTTAATAAAGTTAAGAGTAGCTTGGATTATTTTATTTACCCAGTTTTCTATTTATTTATCATTAATTGTCCCCAAAACTCTTCTCTAAATGTTTAACTTTTCTCTTAGTATGTTTAAACATAGTAGGTTGTTAAACAAGATGTGTAAGGCAAAAACCATAAAAAAGACTAACAGATTCCACTCCATTAAAATTTTAAAACCTTGTTTACTAAAAGACACCAAAAAAGGTGAAGACAACCCACATGGTAGAAGTTATTTGTTACACAAATAACTTTTTTTTTTG